GACGATAGTTCAATCTCCGCCCCAAAGCGTTCCTCCAAACCACGTGTGAACGCCTTAGACGAGCTCTCTCTAGGACTGCAAGAAGAACCGACTCGACCAACATTCTACAACATTCATAAAAAAGATGAAATCCTTAAGTAGCAGTCGAAACAATACGCGGTGTTCGCAGATCATTGTGGAGGAAGGAGTGCCAGGAAAACGAATCGAATGCAAGAAGCGCTGAGATGCGAACAGTATATGTGATGAAGGGTCAAGTAAAATGAAATAATAGTGATAAGTTAGTAGCGAGACAATACAGGCAATAAGACGATAACAGAGGTGAAGAAACGCGAGCTGGATGATGGGTGAAAGGTGACCCTTGAGATCAGAGAACAGCTTTACCTTAGGCTGGTTGCGTATTACGATGTGTGAGTGTAATACAGGATACAACCGTAAGGGTACGGAGGGATGACACATTATGACAGCGTAAGTATTGAAGACATCTACTAAATTAACAACGCATAGCAGTTACATGAGGATTGACAATAACTTTAATTTGTCACCGATGCAGGGGTGTGAGACTTAGGTGACATAGTCGTGTAGAAGGGTGCGTGAGTAAATTTTGGCTAACGTTTGTACGAATGCAGATGCCCACAAGCAAAGAAGGTAGAAAGCCTTCCAAACAATGAGTTCTTATATATTTATGTGAAAGGATGCAAAGATGTGTAGTTTTATTAAAAGCTAATTTGATGGTGACACGGCAGATGCAATAAAGTAGCTGACAGCTGCTCATTCAGTGCAGGAACTGTCTGTCTTACAAAGACAAACAGTTCTTACTAGGAAATTGCAGAAGCCCTTTCTAGCCAGTCGAGAAACACAGGTATGTGATAGTCCCAATTTGCAGAAAGTACAACGAAAGTCCATGAGAATATAAAGGACATCCCGTTCTTTATGGACAACACTGTCTATGGAAATGGCTTATAAGGTAAGTATAAATGACGAAGTTGGAATAGGAAACATACGGTAATATAAAAAATAGTAGCTAATCAGGGAATAGTAGCTGCCATACCTATTTTTCAAACTCCAATGTTTTCGTGACCTTCTGAAATACGATGGTAAATAATTTTTGCTGTAAATAATTGTGAAATTTTTATATAGCTCACAAAGAGTCGTTATATACTTAGTACGGACTCCCTGACTGCCCAGGGCTTCCATTACTGCTTCGTTTTCAACTAAGTGAAATGCCTCCATTGAATCGATGAAAGTGATACAGAGCGGTCTCTTATACTCTCGGTTTACTTCGATGAGCCTTGTTATTCTGCAGATGTGGTTAACCGGATTGAATCCTTTTCGAAGCCCTCGCTCACATGGCTGTCCTTTGACCTGTGTTCTGGTAAACCTGTTTAATACGACTCGAATGAAGAATGTAAACGACAGACAGCAAGCATACTGGGTGACGCTTGCGGAAATCGTGGAGGTTACCCTTCCCGAACAGTCTTGCTAGTCTTCCATTCTTGCATTCTGACAGGTAAGCTGTGAACAACCGAGCTAGTGTGTTGACGAGAACTGGCGGAAAGTTCCTCAAGTGTTCAGCTCTTATCCTGTCCTGATCATGTGTGTTCTATTTTTGACCAACAAGATAGCACGTCGGATCTCGGAAGGGGAGACCTCGAGTAATAATTACGAATGATTTTCTCCATTGCCTTTTTGGAAGGTGTAACTGTTCCACATGGGTGTCAGAGTACAATTATCTCGGTAATTGGTTATGCTTTGGTAGGCTTTACCAATGCTTTTCCCAGCCTCTGCAACTTCGATCATAACTGTTGCTCTTCGCTCTTGAAAATCATCTTATATCGTCCGTTTTCACTGTTTTGTAAGTTCACACGTGAGTGAGCGGTTGCATTCGTCTCGTACGAGGCCATGTTGGTGTATCAGCTCGACTGTCGTCTCCTGGTGATTTTCAAACTGTCACCCTTCATAGCTTTAACATGAAGACGTTGAGTGAGCCAATCATATTCCTCGTTGATGTTACCGAGAATAGCATCTTTCCAACATCGGACCGGGGAACTGAATAAGTTCCAGTTTTTGGTGGTTTTGAGACCTTTTTTGAATTTCGCGACTTTTTCCTTGACTGAAATCTTTCACGAAGGAGGCGATGGTCAGATCCTGTGTAGAATTTTTCGTACAATGGCCACAGCGGTTAAGCAAAACCTTCGATTTACTATGATTTGTTCTACCTCGCTGCGGTACTCTCCACTTAAGCGACGCGTGTATCGAAGTAGTCCGAGGCTCTGCAATACACATGGGATCGATCCCCGCGCATCGGGCTCACCAAGCCTTCCTTCACTCCGGGTTTGACGAATTGGTACCAGACTTGTCTAGATGGGTAGCAGCACTGTTTCAACACATCGGCAGGCCGCCGCGAGTTATTGTAAAGGCCAGATGTGCATTTACCTACCCTAGCCTAACGATGCCTAACGTACTCTGATGCATGGCGGATTACTCAGGGATTGATCAACACCAAGAGCTTTTTTTTAAAACCCTCCATTGGGGACTCCCACGTCCAGCGTTAAGACGGGGCTTCTGTAATTATAAGTTACCATGAGTGGCCTTGCTCGTCGTGATAAACTAAGACAGGCGCTCACCCTGCTCATTCTATTTTAAACCGTGGGTCTCCACGTGACGTTCTTCATACGTCATTCTGTTTATAACATTTGCGTTAAAATCTCGAACAACGACCTTAAACAATGTATGGTTTTCTCTGCAGAATTCTTCCAAGGCGTCGACTTCGTCTTCGTCATAGCTTGATGGCGCATAGACAGGGAAGATTGTCGATGCTGTTACTGATCCATATCTTTTTAATCGTAAACGTCCGATTCAGGTTGTTAGTTGTTCGAACGAATCCATGTTCATGGACAAACTCGTGTTGAAGAGAACGCCGACGCCGCCGACTCCTCTGCCATCGCATGTTCCGGGGAACAGTTATTCTCCGGTGTTGTAGACGGGGTCGAATGGGTGGCGCCGTCTCTTCTCGGCCAGTCCGATGACATCGCACTTTAGTATTCTTACATGCATGATCAACTCCTCTATCGAGGGCTCAGATGCAAGTGTGCGTGCAATGTAGATACAAATCGTCACCTTAGTCCTTCTAGACTTAGGCAGCTTAAAATGGCCCTAAGATTTTAGCAGTCCCTCTGTACTCATCCCACACAACGTTGCCGAATCAGGGCTCTTTCGCAGTCAGGGGAATGAGACCCGTTCATCATCCTGTTCTTAGCTTTTTGATACCCACGTATAGCCTGCTGAGCTCTGGATGTAAGGGCTGGGTATACTCACGGTACCTTGCCAATCTCTCCCAGGTTGGACATGGAGCTTATTTGCTGGAAGCGACTCCTAACCGCTTCCCACATAGATCCCTGTCGCTTGATTGAAGGCTTTTGGTCGAAATGACTGGCAAAATATAATCCGCCTAAATGAGAACATACGCACACCCTCATACACGATGATGTCCTAGTACACGCAAAAAATATGTGGCAAATCAGCGCAGCAGAAGCAGCGAGTTCATTTCCTGGATCCACATGCATCTCAGGGAGGCAAGGGTCGCTTCTGGTCCGCGATTAACCCCCTATCCGTTATTTGAGGACGTGTCACGTTGCCTCGCAACTAACCGGTAAAAAATTTCTATGTGCGGAAGAACTCACGAATGAAAGTCGTAGGAATACCAACACTGGGAAAAGAGAAGCATGAAGATTTTCGAGTATGTAACGCTGATAAGTACTGTGCAGAAACCTTCGAATTTTCTCGGAAACCTGTGATTTTTGCGCTTTTTTTCTTTTGAGAAGATTTCACAGCCGACAAGTTTCAGGCAATTCAATAGGGAACGCAAAGGCTTAAGCTGGCCCATATCGGCTTGGTAGAAATTGAAAAACTTTCAAATTCCAGGTGGTGATTCAACCTTGCTCGGGCGCAACAAACTTCTCACCTCACCAGGGTTGTTAAGCTGGTACTAGACTTGTCTGGGACAAGCTTACTCACTATAACCTACATGGTAACACACTATCACAATTAGCACAATTATTTCAAGTGTGTAGACGGAATTGACTCCACCAGCATTCGACCAAATTTGTGACGAAGAAGGAAAAATCCTCAAGCAGCAGCTGGACGCACACTCGAAGGGAATTTGAAAACGTTTGTGGATAGTGGATAGGAGGAAACAGATCGGAAGATATAAGTGCTGCAATCCGCACTGTGTGGTAAATATGATTTTGAATCATATCACAGCGATAACAATAAGAAAGGACAGACCTCTCGGCGTTGATCAATCTCTTATGGATGCGCCATGCACTCAACTTTATTAAGCATCGTTGAAGGTGATCATGGAGGCCTATATCCTATATATCTATCCTATACAATGACTCGCGGTGGCCTACTGAACTAACAAGTCAGTGCTGCTAACCTCCTAGACTGGTATCAATTTGCCGAACCTAGGAGGATGAAAAGCTTGGTGAGGTTTACGCGCGGGATCGATCTCATGTATTGCGGGACGCCTCCAACCACTGTGGTACACGCGCAATAATAATAATAATAAATAAAATATTCATAAATTCTCCAGGAAGGTTGGAGCGAGGATAGGGTCGAGATTACTTGCTCCGCTGAGTCGTGGCGCGTGTCGCGCGCCCTGGAACCCACATTCCATGCGTCGCTTTGAATCTGGCCTTTATTCGGCAGAGGGGTTTCTGTTCTTGTCCTTCTGTGGGTTATCCGTTTTCGGTTCATGGCTGCAGATATGCTGCACATTGTTACATTGCATGCTAGCATATGAAGGTAAATTGGGTTCGCTATCCATGTTTTCAGTGTCATGGATTCCTGTCGTTTGTTCCAACAAGTTCACTTTTGTTGAACTTCTTTTCTTTCATGGTTATTAACAGTGTTTTGCTTTCAGAGATATTTTCTTGGTTGCGGTCATTACATAAAACAAGTCTATTGTATTTGCTATCCTGTCGACCTTAACGATGAGTCGGATGCGAAGTAGAGGAAAGGAGCCAAATCCTGCTTGGAGTCTATCTTCCCCTCTTCCGTCTGCTCTATCGAGTAATCTGAACTTCACTCCGATGACGTCACCGAATAGAGAAAGGTAGGTTTTTGTTTGAAAGACCGTTTTCTTAACATTTTAATGGTGTTTGTAGTTTCAAATTTGATTCCCTTACAGTCGAGTCGCATTTAGGACCATTATTTCAGCTTGCCTTGTAAACTAATATATGTTCATCTTCCATTCGACCAACATTCCCGTCTTGAAGTTCGAGCTGGCCAGACTGCTCGAGATGCAATTTCAAAGCTTCTGAAGAAAAGGAACATAACACCTCAGTTGTGTCACGTCAATGTTTCTGAGGATCCGAGAAGTGAACAGATCGATCTCATGGTATGTACTGTGCGCTCTGTATATGTATATATGTGGTATGTATAGCCAAATTACTCCCACATTCACTGTCTGATAGCGATGGAATTGGTACTGACGTCAACTCATTTTTTGTAAATGTTTGTCCGCTCAACGGTTTACCGCCTGATCGTGGTTAGGAGGTCTTCCTGGGAGTCGGGCGACGATGTACAGCGGCGGGATTCATCCCCCAATAGGGGCTACCAAGGTGAAAAGCAGTCCGTCGTTTCCATCAGAAAGAGCAACTAAGAGTAAACCAATACCATGATTAACTACCGTCCTGGTGTCGAACGAGTCGTATAGTGGCAAATCTCCCTCCGATACACAAGAGCGGTGACTGGTGGTGACGAGCTGGAGCAGACTTTGGCCTGGTTGAGCTCGGGACCCCAGGGAACCACAATAGCTAGACCACCAAATCACGACAAAAATGGACATTATGCTGGGGCCCGCACACCAGAGAAGGCAGGTCATCCAAATATCCAAATAAGTAAATAAGTATATGTACTTTTCCGTGAATGATCATTTCCGAAACATTTATTCTTAATATTTTCATTGCTTCTGCCTTTTGCATCACGTTTTAGCGTTTTTTTCTCGATTTAGAACTAACTTGTCAATAATGTTAAGGAAGATCTGGAGTCCGTTGCCTCAAGACTGGAAAAAAACGAACTTTGGGTGCACAGCGAATATCTTGACACTGTCAGTTCAATCAAGCACACCATAGTTAGAAGGACTTTTATCCCTCCAGTCAATTGTGATGTCTGCAAGAATCCTATTTGGCTAGTGGTAGGACTTTCCTCTTCTAATGTGTTCTTATCCTTGTTGCAAATAGATCAGGCATATGAATTTGTTTTTTGGAATACTCAGTTTTTCTCGGCATACGTTGAGTTTCCAATTGCAGGGTTATCGATGCGAGTTTTGTCAGTTCAAATTTCATCAACGGTGTTCTTCATTTGCACCTCTGTATTGCGATTTGATCCAGACCGTCCCACGTGATGAAGCGGTTAGTTATTAAGTTTACTGCGCAGATACCATATCTCTTTCTTTTCGGCGATACTTTTTCTAATTTTTAGCTAGCACAAAGACTGCTTCTGTTGGCGTCAAGAATGGAAGGACAGGATGCGGAAATAGCAGAAAGTGTACTGAACCAGTTGCAACCAAATTCTAGTCCATCACACACTCCTGAAGGAAGTCATGCTGATTTAACTTTAAAAAGGCAATTACTTCGTTTTTTTCTACCCAAGTCCAACTGAGGAGTAGCACATGCTCCTACTATTAGTGGCTATCACGCGTTGAAATGTCGGGTAGCGCAGTGGAAGTGATGGCGATCAGAACGGGTGCGGCGCTGGTTCGTTCTCCCCCCGGGCTCACCCAGCTCTGCATCACCCCAAGCTGGGGAAATTGACTCCAGACTTGTCTGGGAAAAGCTATCGCTGCAGTCCAAGTGAAGATGCTGTCTTCCGGCTACCTCAGGACTCTTGGTAGAATCAACTTGACCAGCATCAAACGGCATTCATGATGAAAGAAAAGTGTTCAAGCAGCAGCTGACCCGCATAAGAGAAATTAGATGCCCGTGGTGAACAATAGATGCGAGAAAGCGAGTGGAATCCGGGAAATGCTGAAATTCGCGAACTAGATGTGAGAGACCTGTCGTTTAAAAAGAAATTGCGTGTTGAAAGCACTATTAAGCTTGATTTAAAAACAATTCAGGGGAGGTGGTGTAAAGCGGCATCAACATCCCACAGGCATAGCAACAAGGGAAGCAGCAGGACCACTGGCCCCGTACCCACGCGATAGGTGGTGTTTGCGATCTTGTCAAGTATTCCTATATTACGTACTCAGTATTGCTGATTTGGCATTAATAGCTGATATTGTCAAATAACCGTTGACTTATTTAATTAACTTTAGTCTTTCTAGGTCGTCATCGGCGCCGAATATAAACTCTATCAATGACGAGCTTGTACTTGAACACAATGTAAGTTTCGTTACTTCGTTTTCTCTACGAAGTAGTTTTTTTTTTCTTTGTTAAACGAAATGTGTTGGCTTGTTTCTGTTTGAAGGGCGTTAACTAATATGAGGTGAAGCATAAGTATGCCACTGGTAGATTAAAAGTTCCAGTAGAAAATGCATATTCGATAGTATACCATTTTATTAAAAGTTTTCCCTACGTCTCCATTAAAAGCAAAAGTCGTTATTAAGGTTGTTTTCGAATTGCTGCTGTCTAGTTGGTGTTTTTTCTGCTTTGCTTTAGTTTTTCTTTATGTTCAACTATCGTCAGTACAGTAATTTTGCACATAGTTGTTTGTTAATGTTTTTGCTTTTTATACTAAGCTTCATGGGGCGAATAGCACAGTGTAGTAATGTCGGTCATTACGAGCATGATGATTGTTCGCTACCGCCTCGGGCTAACCAAGCCTCTCATCCCTCCGAGGTTGGGAAATTGGCACCGGACTCGTCCGCGAAAAAAAAATCACTCTGCAATCCAATTGGGAACGCTGTAACTCAGCTATCTCAGGACTCCAGGGAGAATTGCTCGACGAGCATTCTATGACATTGAAGATGAGATGAAAATCCTCAAGCAGCAGTCGAATTCACACATAAGAGTTGAAAGGGGAAGATTTTCGTGAATAATGGATATGAGGAAACAATTCGAATGTGAGAACTTCTGGGTTCCATGCAGTACACATAAAGGCGGGTCGTATGAAAATAAAAATACTAAACCTCATCGTTCTGAATCATCCCCAAAAAACAGTGTTGAATTGTCCAATCATTTATTCCACATGGAAAGTTGGAAACAGTTTCGTAAGTCAGTCGAGGTGGTTAACACTCATCAAAACTACTGTTATTGTGTTACTACTTTGTTAAACAATCGTTATATATTGCAGCAACGTATTCTGGACGCTTTGGAAATGCAAAACCATGGTTCGTTGCTATTCTTTTATTAAGAGTTAAACATCATGTTAAATGGTTGTTGTTCTGTTGTTTCCAGCTGAGCCAGAGGCAGCTGCGAGATTTTTGAAGAGCAATAAGCCTAGTTCGCAATATCAAAGCAGTGTTGCTAGTAATGCCTCTTCGGCTGGTAATGGTTTGGCTGTTAGAAGGCCAACTAACCGCCTTAATCCACGTGCGGACACCTCTCCGTTTGGTTCTAATTCACCATCAAGTAAGATTTTATCGGCACTCGTACTGACCTACGCTATCCATTTTGCCGGAAAGAATATTTTTCCACTTTGTACTTCTCCGTGAACTTTGAGGTACTTGTTCATCTCCTCCTGCTACACAGCTTAGTGCTGCTCAACTTCTACCACCTACTCTCCCTCTCACCCCTCCACAGAGTGCTCCACCGCAAAAGGTATGGAAGTGCTACATTAGTACACACTTTCATGATTATTTGTAGAAAGTTAACATTTTTTTCTCTTAGTTTTCTCCTGGGTTCTTTCGTGGTAGAAGCCGATCTCCAGGTGACCGCTTAGAACCACAACGAACACGAGCAGTTACCAACAAATTTGCACACGAGGACTGGGAGGTACGGCCTGTTAACGGGACTTTCAAAATATCAAGTATTGATTTTCTAGATTGATGAAAAGCAAATTACGTTACAATGCAAGGTTGGTTCTGGCTCTTTTGGAACAGTGTATCGTGGAGAGTACTTTGGTCTTGTTGCTGTGAAGAAATTGAATGTGGGAGAACCTACTCTACAACAACTTCAGGCTTTTAAAAATGAGGTAATTTTTGCCAGGAGCATTTGTACGTCTTTTCTTTACCATTTATCTTTTTGTTTGCATAGAAAAAACAACAAATAGCTCTCCGAACTCTGCTGTGGCTTTAGTTTTTTGTGCGCTATGGTTCCGGATTAAAACTTCTAATTAGCTTGTATGGCGATCCTGGGCTTCTTATTTATATCGCCGCAGATCACTATCTCCGGTTAATCTCGTGGTTATGTCGTAACAAGCAGGCACTAATTTTACCAGGTGTACTTCGTAGCAGCACTCTGGTTAACCATGACAGCTTCTATAGTAACAAAGTTGTAGGCCTTCTTTAAGTCAGCGAAAGTGGAATGTAGTGTTGTCCTCTCGTGGTACTACAGTGGTTTTTGTATCGTACACTTATCGTCTTATCGATTGGACCGTGTTCGATTTTCTGATTGTTCATACTTTTACGCTTTTCCATTGTAGCTTTACAACTAACCAGCTCATTGGAAAGATCCACTCTTTATGTTTTTTCAGCACTTCAACTTTACTTATACGTATTCACCTTGCTTAATGGTTCTAAACCAAACTTTCAGGCAGAGACTAGGTTGGTAACTTTCTTTTTGCTGTGGAAAGAATAGTTCAGTTTGGGGGTTATGATTCAAGAAATGACATACATCACGATGTCGTCACTCAGGGCTTGTTCATTTCCCCATAACGTAGTTGGGTGAATTAAACCTAATACAATCAATAATCCAAGTGCAGAGCGGTCGTTAAATGTGGAGCGGTTACTAGGTAATAAACCTTAGTTTCTTCATCACATCGGTGGTGAGGAACGGTGAGAGTTGTTTTATGAAATAGATTCTTTGGTAGACCGATATTGACATGCGATCAATAACATCACTGCAAATGACGGATATATGAATTACTTCGAGTGTTTCCTCAAATATTAGGTTAATAATGAGCACAACGACTATTTTTATGCGACAACAGTGGAGTGGATGAAGGGGAAAAGTGGAAAGATTAGTGTTTTACAAACGAAAATACGGGTCCTTACATTATAATCTCTATATGTTTTGTTTCTAAAGGTGTATCTACCACTATATGGAGAAATCGATTCTCAAAACACTATAAAGTACATAGTGTAACACATTACGAAACTGGCACACATTTTAGCCAATCCATTTAAAACCAAAAAAGCAATGTGGACACAATCCTCAGCAAATTAAATATGGATGGAAGCCTTCATGCTTTTATGTTATTATATGTAGAAGACAGTAGTGCTTCAGGGTAATACTCTAGCGTGCAACTCAGATAAAAAGGCGACTCAACACCTGCTTAATTTATAAAGGCATACAGACCTTCAACATATCTGACCTATTTACTTGAATGCCTTGATGTCCCTTCCTCACTGATTGTTTATGTTCTAGTATGATTTCCATTCGTTTCTCTCTCATGCAATCATCCTTCATGGTGGTGGTCTGCTCTGAACGTGGTGACGTGGTAAGACTAATTCCGTAATCATGAAATCGTTGCTATCGACGAGTGCACTTGGTTGACGTTAGCCACCAAACACGTCCTCCTATAGTTTGGGTGGTGTTTCAAGAGGACGTTTACATTCTCTTGGATTTCACTCCGCTATTATTTTCGTTCATCTGTCACGTACTCTTCTTATTATGTGATTAGCCAATGTGTTTCGTCGTTGATGTATATTTTCCTGGATCCCGAGTATTGGATAGATTTCGATGGTCTGAGCTGCGCACTCCGTGTACACGTCTTGATTACCGGTTAAATTTCAGAAGACATCGTTCAAGTGCTCTGTGAGTTTTGCGTAGACTTCTTGACGTGGTTCGTGTATCAGCCCATATCTCTGTTGCATAACTGAAAGAACTGTTGAATCAAAACCTGAGCGCGGAGTTTTAGACTCGTTAGTTGGTCGGTGGCTCCAATGAATGGTTGGAATGCGGTCCACGCTACTTCCCTTCTTCTATTTAATTCATCTTTCATGTTGTTCTTAATGTTCATTGAACGTCCAAGGTACACCTACGAGGTGATCTTTCTAATCAGGCAACTATCCAGTTTGATTTGTTCGCCTTCATGCCATGGCTTCTTCATAAACTGGGTTATTGTCCTGTTTGTGCGAAGTCCAGTATTTTTTCTATATAATGAAGATTTTACGGGAGTTTTTCATCAGTGCGTATACCTTTCTCGTCTCAATCGATCGACTTTATTATCCACTGGAATGTGCCAGTAAACAGCTTTGGCGATATTGCGTCATTTTATTCTATGAGGGTATGCGGAGCGGTCGATGAAAAAACTGTATATTTGTTCTGCAGCTCCGATAGCAGTCTACTAGTAATCGTGTATGGGACGGGTCCACTTCTTCGTCGACGAGCGCTGAAAGTGTTACATTCCTTTCGACGCTGTCAAACGCTTTCTCGTATTCGTCGAAAGTTAGATCGAGGGCCAGATGATGCTCCCGACAAAGTTCATAACCTGTGACACGGTTCGGATGTTGTCCATACAGAAGAATCCCTGTGGGAGTTCTGCTTGCTTATCTGGTTGTGCCTTATCCAAGGCCCTCGATATGTACAAAAGGATATTCTTGGTGAACGACTTGTAGAGTACACTCAATAAGCAAACTAGACAGTAGCTGGGAAGATCTTTTCAGTCACTTTGGGTGGAGGACCGTGAGCGAGATCTGCAACTGATCAGGTATTTTCTCTTTATGAACGTAGCATATTATGTGGCTTGCGAGAAGTGCATGTAGTTTGTAGCCACCATCTTAGGGAAATCGATGGTGGTTTTATCGACACTTGGTGCTGTGCTTGTCTTCATGCTTTTCATCATAGCTCGAACCTAAAACGATAGAGTCCGGCTGGGTTTTTCACCAGTGGGGATTTCGGGGTCCGAGACGAGGGTTGTGGAGCGGAAAATATTGGTATAGAACTTTTCTGTTATAAATTCCATATCACGGTAGGATGTAGTGATAGTCCCATCTTCGTTTATCAGGCCGAATATCAAGACATTATAGTCGCAAAGATCCCGACGATAGTTTTGCAGACTAGATGGTTTTTGAGCTGCTTCCAATAATTTTTCTGCCTGTACCAGATGTAAGTCTCGTGCGGTGGTTTTCTACAGCTAGCATTTATCATAATGGTAGCCATTTTAGGTGTGTTACATTAGGATTAAGCTTCGGTTTTGCTCTCTCTTCGAGCAGTTCCTTGGTGGTGATGGAGACACGGTCTGAAGTTCATACGTTTTATACTTTAAAGGTTAAGCATACCCTAATGGAGCTTTTCAAAAGTAGCATTTTACGGAGAAACATAGAACTTAGTAAATGGCTTATAAACTTCGATCATTGCGGAGCTTTTAAACGGTCCGTATTATCTTTTAAGTTTTAATTGTGAAAGAGTGTATCCTTCATGTGATTTTTATGTGACTTTACTAATGATAACGGGGAAAAGTAAAAAGTGATAGCGGAGATAAATTGTGTTCGTATTTCACATAGTACTATCCAGTGAAAAAAGCAATGGACAATATAAAAAAAAAATCATACAAGGACTATGCTAGATGGAGTGAAACTTCTTATCCAAACCAAATAGTTAACACTTTTGAGAAGCCGCTGCTTCTCAGTGAAATAGGACAATTTTGAGGATTAAAGTGCTGCTACGGTAGTCATGGTTATGTCAGTTGGCAAGGATTCATAATGCACCATTTCCTCCAAATCCCATTAGAATCCGGGAACAACTTTCTGTAGACTAGGTATCAGTTCATGCGACTGTGTGGGAGTCACTGACTTTTGTGGATATAGCTGACGCTGAAGTCTCGACTGTTCTTTGATAATGTCTTTCTTGTGCACGCCAAAATATTGAATATAAAAGGTGGAGATGAAGATGATGTAAGATCTTTTTTAACTAGCAAAATTTTTAGGTAGCTGTACTCAAGAAAACTCGTCATTTAAATGTACTTTTATTCATGGGTTGGGTGCGGGAGCCATCGCTTGCTATTGTAACTCAATGGTGTGAAGGCAGTAGCTTGTATAAACACATCCACGTAGTCGGTGAGTCTGTTGGTGTTTGTTCACCTAGTATTTTTCAATGTGAAGATTATTTCTGTAAATACTTCTAGGTCGAGTTGCTTTAAACACTTTTTTCTCTTTTGTTACTTGCTAAATAAAATCAAAAGCGATCGACCGCTTTGAGCGCAACTTTTAAAATAGGACGAAAATTAAATTTAGGTTAAAAAGTAAGAGTATAATTGACAGAATAGTGACTCGACGTTAGCACAACGTTATTAACACGTTCATGAGGACGTGAGACATATATCACTCATACATGTTGCATGAATATTGATGGTGTGATCCATATGTGATCTATTTTCCTTTGGGTTTTTACTTCTTCCGTGTGAAGGTTTTCTGAGATGGTGTTATGCCGATGCCTTCCCTACTATTGGTGCCGTAATAGCTGCTCGGCGAGAAAAAACTTCTTTTTCACATTTTAATCTGCAAAATACTTATTCGGATAAGATTGGGAGGAAAAGTTTGGAGAGATCATAAGTACCAAAATCATGGAGAAACAGAAGCGTATGTACTAGTTGCTTTTCTGATATATAGGAAGGAGTTCGCTGTGTGGTTGCTCAGTGCAAGCAGTTTCGCCACATTGTGGCCTTTGACTATTCGCAGTCTTGATGAAGCAGGGAAGACCGATTTCCAGTTTTTTGCCTCCACTGAATGATTTGTCTAGGAAACTCTTCTCTGTTCTAATCAGATGTGCCGATCGAATTATTCGTTCTCCCCAGTGTTGCATACTGTTTAGCTGGATTTTCTAGAATATTTTTTAAAAAAGCGCCAAAGTGGGAATACTGTTGTATTTCGAAACCTACTTTCTTTTAACCTCGGTGTGACTAATCAACATGTATTCTCTCCTTGATGAGCTTGCACGAGGTTGATAGGTATATTTATTTCCGGCTAACGTTTCGACGTCTCCGGCTTCATCAGAGCCGATGATCCGAGTCGTTGGTCCACACTTGTTCTTCGTCTCGATGTGACTGCTTAGTGTCGAGCCAGGTCTTCCACAGCGAGCCATCCCCTCGAATGAGGCACCCTCATTCGGTGATGCATTTTATACATGATGCTGATGGTGGATATAATGATAATGTCCGGTGATAACAACTTGTTTTTCTTCCGGACATACATCATCGTGCACATCGTGCAGAAGTCAGCTAGTACGAAGCATAGTAATATTTCGAAACCGACTTTCCTTTAACCTCGGTGCGACTAATCAATATATATTCTTTCTTTGATGAGCTTGCACGAGGTTGATAAATACGTTAACCTTCTTATTTACTGCCTATTCTTTTTAACGGCAGGGCATGTTGCGAAAGATAACTAATATAATGCTGAGATATTTGCAAAATTCCTGACCGCAGGTGTCTGCAGTGGGGAACGAACGCGCTATTGTCCTTTATGGGGAGTAACGCGTTCACTACCACACCATGCGAGTCCTTCGTTTTGCCTGTCTCTCAGCTAGTTCTATCGGTCTTTTGCCATCAGCAATCATCCGTCAGCAGGTTCGTTCTGGGGAGCCTAAATCGGCATTGAACCCAGTTAAGCTAAGGCTATATAGTTATAATCACAATCTTAACCTATCCTCGTTTGTTATTCGTCTTGATGTGGCGGCTTCGCCTTCATGTCGAGTCAGGCGTTCCTCAGCAGGACCATCGACTCGAGTCATCGGCCCTGATGAAGACGAAGACGTCGAAACGTTAGCTGGAAGTAAATGTACTTGTTCACCTCGTCTAAGCTCATCAAGGAAAGAATACATATTGAGAATACTGTTTTCTCTGATAAATATTCTGGATTTCCTTTCCCAATCGTTTTGATGAATCATATTTGTCGTATTACTCGGATAATTCAGGAGAGTGACTTTCGACTAACTTCGGCGTTATCTTATCAACTCACGTTTTTGAGTTTGCACGAAGTTGTTAACACGTATTTTGTTGTTGGACAGCTGGTGTTTCAACGAATTCGCATTCTTCAAAACGTAGACATATTTATTTAATTCTGTTCTTACAATGTTTTAACCTTTTATTTACTGGATGGCAGGGTAATATGTGAAATACAACCACGAGAATGCTGAGATATGAGCAATGTCGTATATCTTGCTCATATCTCTGCGTGATTGTGGTTGTATTTCTATCCGTATAATTAGATGTGCTTTGTACAGTATTAGTTATTAGTAGGTCCATCATGTACAAATAAATAGAAATATGTTAAAAACGAGTTTTGAAAAATTCTGAAAATTTACGCTTGATGTAAGGAAAGTTCAGAAGGAGATAGACGATATTCTCAGTTTAATGAGGCTTATTCCCTATGGTAGGTAACGTTCGAGCTCTCTGGGAAAAGTGGTAGTATTTTGGAGAGTGATTCAATGATTATGCTGGATGAGGTAGCTTTGTAGCCTAGCTCGTTCAAGTCAAGCAACGTTAATCGTGCTTTGTGTGATCTACCCATGTTGTTCAAGTAAATTGGGCAATTTGAGTTGACAAATACTGGGTATACATGCCGCAATTCTGATGCATTTCATTGATCTCGTGGCAGTACTTCTCTGTTGTGATTCAGAAAATCGTTTTCATTCTTTCAAAGGTTAAGGGTGTTGCGGTAGATTAATCGCGCTAAAATGCTCTTACCGTAATCATCTTGTTGGAAATTCAGCTTTATGAAAGGTTTAGAAGCTTCAACCATTGTGCTAGACGAAGTTTGTTGCTGTGCATAATCGTAGGAACAGAGAAAAAAACGCCTTTTTGTTGTGCAAGCATACAGCAGACTTCGTAACCACGTCTGCAGTAGTCGTCCAGTAGGTGTGGCACTTGTTTATTGAACTTGTGAGGTTTCCAATATTTTCCATTTGACGAGCGATTGATTATGAGTGGAACGTCGAGTTCTGGAACATGGCAAATAGTTTTTACATGTTGGTCTCTAGTAATCACCACCAGGTGATCATCTTTGATTGCTTGTAGGTGTCAAAGGCTTTCGCCGCCAAGATCCATATCATCGCTACGAAACTTTTTGAGCCACCTGCGCACTACCCATTTGGAAGTGTTTTACGATTCGACTCCCATGACGTTTCGAAGTTTTCCCTGATTTTCCTAAGAGCGTATTTCAACAGACCTAGGATGATTGTAGATTAGGTGTCAAAAGTTTGACACGCCAAATAGTTGGTAAATAAATATGCTTTGAATTGGTGAACTGTAACAATATGAACAATGGATGTTTACCTCAAAATTATTATTTTGGGATTCTAAGTGACCGAAGATGTCGTTTTTTTTAAGTCACTCTAGCGTTATAAAGTGTTTCAGTAATCGGCCATGTTTACTTTTATTACTGAAACTTAGAAACATTATTTCAGAACCGCATGTGGAATTTGAGATGAGCACCATCCTCGATATTTTCAAACAGATAACGTTGGGAATGAACTACCTGCATTCGAAAAGTATTATTCATAGGTAATGGTAGCGTACTTAGAATCTAATCATCTTATCAGAAACTATTTATCACATGTAGCCTTAGATGCGGTGGGGTCGAACACGCTGTGACCCTTTATGGGGGTTAACGCGTTCACCACCAACACCATGCGGGTCCTTCGTTTCGCCATTCCCTCAGTTTTCTATCTATAAATGGCATTAGCAATAGGCTTTTATACATACTGCTATCAATTCGTGTGGGAAGCTGCCCAACATTTTTGAACATTGATGCAACGGTACAATTGTGAACCTGTCTTAAATATATGGTCCTAGGCTATTGTTGCTTTAAGGAATCTATTTTATGCTTTGGAAACCGGAGCTTACTTATGCTTTCTTCTGCTTGTATAATATAAGCAGTCAGCACAATTTTCTTTTTTAAACATTATTTCCAAAAGGCGTTGCCCAGTTATATTTCATGCTGGTAGAAATTTTGATGGTTTCTAAATGCTTGTTCTGGGTATTGCTTGTTTTGCATGCATATAACAGACGTTGTTGGTTTTCGGCTTCATGCATTATTACAGAGATTTAAAAACGAACAACATTTTTCTTATGGATGATATGAGTACAGTGAAGATTGGAGATTTCGGGCTTGCAACGGTTAAAACACGGTGGAGTGGTGGGCAACAAAGTCAACAACCCACGGGCAGCATTCTATGGATGGTATTGCTGTTCTTTAATCCATATTGTTCAATTTTCTTATCCAGGCATTCGCTGCTTTCTCGTAAGACAAAATTTTAGGCACCAGAAGTTATTCGCATGAAAGACTCTAACCCCTATACCACACTCTCGGATGTGTACTCATTTGGTATCGTGATGTACGAAGTACTGTCAAGTTCTTTACCATATTCTAACGTAAATAACAGGGATCAGATTTTGTTCATGGTAAGTTTCATTTGTGTTGTTTTTCTCGTAAGAGCGGTGTTTTTCACTTTAGCTTTGTGTGCTATTTCGCCATATTTGTCTAGGAGAACTATGTTTTGAAGGAACAACGGGAACTATAACAATTTGCAAAAAATGATGTAGTTTTATCTATTGACATGAATTGCGAAAATCGTTATAATGTGTGTTTAATGTTGAAACAGCAACACTCACAGTTAATCCTAGTTTGTCTCCTTTTGAAATAACGAATGTCGTAATTATTGCAAGCCATAATGAAATGCTAATCGAAGACATTCTTCTAAACTTAAGAATATTTTGAAAAGACCCGAATTCGTCATTATAATATTTTTTGTCTTCGAAATACGTTGCACTGTTGAGAGCAATCGACTTAGGTAGTGTGTTGACTTACGGTCCATCGCTACAACACAAATTAAAATTTATGTTAGACTATTATGGACTATTACCAGTATTTGGCCAGAAATAATTTAGCATTTCGATTTGAATAGATTATTGCGAGAAACATCAGTTTTTGTTTTCGCTTGGCAAAAAATTGTTCTACGTTTCAATTTTAAAGAAGAATTTCTGAACTCATTGTGAATTTTATCAGTCGTAATAAAAGCTATTACAATCTGCAGATTTATGCCAACAGTGCAAAGTCCATTTGTTATACCAAGATGAAGTTCCGATTTTCGTAGACCACAAATTAGCGAAGACGGTTTTATATTGCTAATTTTCCAAGTTTTATTCCTTAGGTTCTTTTCATTAAAATTCATATTCAAGTTTATAGTTTTTACATTTCTTGCACAAAAATAGTACAAAAGTTGTATACATCTTTAGAGCGATAGGGCAATGTAAAGTCTCTTCTGTAAACCTGTTAAGCGCGCAAATGTTCATGTGCTGAATAGTCGAGAAGTTCTCCACTTTTACCGAAAAACAACTGTCTTCACGAAACTGTTGCGGCTTGATGCTTGTTTTTCTTCATTAAATTCCCACATTTATCTCATTATCCATTTTCAGTGGACCTTTTTGCTGTTATCATCAGCATCGGTATTTTGTTTTAGTTTTCATTTTGCTTTTATCGTAAGCAGCGTTTTCTTCAGGTTCAGCTGCAAGGTCATCAGTGGAGACCAACCAACATCTACACAGCATTTTTGGTGTTTTGCTTAAACAGTGTTGGTGGTTACATGTTATCACATGTACTACTGCATCGCTGAAATTGCAGAGCGAGATATTTACTTGCATTATGCCAGTTAATTATGTAGGGAGTAGTCGTCGAGTCGGCTAAAGTATTAGTTCAGTCGAATGCCAAATAAACTGATGCAAACTTACTAATTAGTTCAACATTCAACATGGAGTTCTCGAGACTCTATGAATTGCCAAGTGGAACTTCTACGAATTGCTGCGGAGTGCGACTCAAACTTGGGTAAATAAACCCCTATGCAGATATTGCAACAATATCAGGAAAACGATAATATCTATGGAACGCATGTGTATGGAGACTTTGGAGCAGCTACGGTACGTTAATCGTACAGGACAGTGAGTGATTGCAGCTGTGAATAATTTAGTCTAGTAGACAATGGCGGCGTGAACCGGAAGTGTGATGACAGCCTCAGAATACTGACAGCAAGTGACAAACTTTGACATCGACTGCAGAGTCGGCTGGATTCAAACCTGGTGCGGGTAGAGACCATTATCGCTGCAGAAGGCTTGACCGTTCTTAGCTAACACCTTTGTACATGTGTTCACATCGCAATCGTTTTCCAGTCAGTGACTTTTTGAAACATTATGCAAATAACTTAGAAAATAAGATAGTGTTGAGAAATAGAGGACATTCTTGGTAAAGTGGACAGTAAAGTCTAAAGTCTCTGTACCCATATCTTTTTCTGCTATTACATAGAAGATTGGTTGTTTACACTGATGGTTAATAGGGCATTTCAAAATTAAATTAACATTGAAAAACTTATTGATGTCTGTGAGATGAAATGGCGAAACCTAGTCAGTGGCATTCACTGGTGAATTTATTGTGTTAAGCCGCTGTTATGTTTACTGTTGGTGGTTTTCTTCAAGCTAACTTGCACCATCAATTTTTCTTGTTCGAGTTATTTGCTGTCGTTTATTTAGGTTGGTCGTGGTTATCTGAGGCCCGATGTTTCCAAGATTCGTTCGGATACCCCAAAACCCTTGCTGGCACTTTATGAACGTTGTATTAAATTTAATCGTGATGAGAGACCAGAATTCAGTGAGGCACGCTTTTGAATAGATTTGCTGTCTGAAATTGTTGTACTTTTGTCAGTAAAATAGCGAAGGTTCTACTATTGTTTTAATTCATGTTATGGGTTTTGCAGGTGCTAGACAAATTGCGCGGTATTTCTCTTCCGAAACTAACTAGATCGACTTCTGCCCCAAGCTTGTTTAGCGGAATTCTTGATGCTTCGGAGTCATTTGGAAACTTCAGTTCAAACACACCACGCACGACACACCATCTTTGGGGATATCTTTAACCGTTCAAGGTCTGCCAAACTACCAGCTTCGTCGAAGGTTTATCTAATTAGTACTACTTACTGTTCTTTCGCCATTTTAGAAAAGTTGAATACAGTTGAAACTTCTACATTTCAAAATTTTGACTAAAGAGTTTACTAATGCTCATAGCTCTTTGACCGCTATGATTTGGTTTTGTTTGGTTTACAGTTACTAGGTTCTAAATATTTTGGACGATCGCTTGAAGTATGTAGTTCCTATAGAAATTCGAGAAAAATTTATTTAAACCATGCTGTAGAGGCCAAAGAAAACGTTTGTTCATAGGACTATTGAGGAGACCATAATTGAACAGCAGGTATGGTACAACTTCCTAGAAGTTTTATGATGAGTCACCTAAGATCTTTTCACTTTATAATTCTAGAGCAGGAAAAGGAGTATGGGGGATAGCGAACTGATTGGTGGTGCAGTCCATCACGAGGCAAGCTGTTGGTTTCACCCACTCTACAATGCTTACCTGCAATCTACGTGGAAACACTTTGGCGCACTGCAGTACACACTGGTTCGTTCCCCACACCCAGGCCCACCAAGCCCTCCATCCCTCCGGGGTCGGCAAATTGGCACCAGACTTGTCTGGGAGGATAGCAGCATTGACTCGATACATAGGTCCGTGAACTATTATCAAAGCCAGTTATGCAGTAAACCCCCTCTAACGTTGATTAATGAAGTCGAATACATGGCGCATCCCTCAGCGGTATATCAACGCCGAAAGCTCTATCTTTCCATCTTTGCTAGGTGTGACGGTTACCGCCGATATGCGTGCAGGTGGATATACTATTGCAAGCGCAATAACAACACAGAAACATTGCCAAATTATCTCATGGTAGCATAATATTAACTTATATGCTATGGAGTAATTTGTCACTTTGTAAGGTTGAAAACAGTTAAAAGTTTTTCAGGTTGTATGATATTAGCGTTCGTGAGTGCGAAGTGTTGGGTTTTCCAGTGTCTTTGATCGTTTTGTGTAGTGATTCTGTGATACTCTTTTTAAAATGGGTAAATATTGTTATTCGTTTAAGACCTTGTAGAAATCCTGTTCCACTTCTGTACCGGTATAATCAGATGCCGTATAATCACTGTTGTAAATGCATAATCTGAAACTTCTTATTCACGTAATGCGAGATTGTTTAGCGTTTCTTAGCACATTTTCAAGTCTTTGACGAGGTCGTCCAAGTTTTTCCAATATTTTTTAAAGAATTTGACCATATTTCTATGTTGCCAAATTGTTACTGAAAGTCTGTATTTTTTCCACCTTATTCAAACCTTGATGTGTACGATCTTCATTAAGTGTAGTACGTAATGAACCATTGGAAGTATCTGTAGAAATTCTATTTTTCAACATTCCTCTTGCCGGGTAAAAATAAATTGTTCATCCATTTCTTTTCCTTATGCTGTAGTGGATAGTGTCCACAGACGTCCATTAGTTCAAGCTTGTTTCCGGATTGATTTTAATATGTTTACAACACTGCGCACATGTGAAATACAATCACAGTGATACCGAGAAATGACCATAAAGTGGAACCCCACGTCAGCTTCGAACCCACGATTGACCTTGGGGTTTGGGTGTTATCCACAACACCACTGAAGCCCCTGCTCTGCTTTTCTTTCGGTCATTTTCTTTCTATCAGCTTCATTGTTTTATTTCACATAATACCCTGCCGTGAAAAAATATTAGGCAGTAGATAGAAAGCCATTCATTGTGGCTTCGACTACAGATACGGCTTAACTGGATTAGGTACCGATTTTTGTTCCTCTGAGCATTCCCATTGGCGGGTGATTGCTGTTGGCATCATTGGGGAACAAAACAGACTGACAGGCAAAGCAAGGGGCTGCTTGGTGGTGTGCAGTAGATAGCACGTGAGATTCCGGAAAGAGGTGTCGAGTGTTCGAAGCTCATCTGGGGTTACCAGTTTTACTCATATCTCATTTTAGTTGTGGTGTATTTCACACAGTACCCTGCCATGTAAAAAAAATACCAAGCAGTAGATAAAAATTAAACTGCCCACATGTCCAAAATAATTCAGCTTTTCTTTAGACGAACGTATCCTGCCTCGTCCCTAACTTCATTGATTGAGATAAGAATCATTGGAATGAACATCCGTTTTCCAAGACTACTGAAGAGTTGTGACTCCTTCGTAATGAAATCCTTAAATGCACGAATTGTTGATTTTTCATTTATCTCTGTATTTCTGAACTTGCAAACCGATTTACATCCAGCGTGTTTGTGTTTCCGAATGCATCATCGACGTTTATGGCGGCTTGGGGTTGTCTTGACAGTTTTGAAATCTTAACCTTTTCAAACCACTGGAAATTTGAGCTCTAGACATTTAAAAGCTACGATAACTTTTGGAATGTTGTAGGTCTCGAAATCTTCAAGAAGACTATATATCTTTTGAAAACGACAAATCAAGGTTTGTTCTGGAAGCTTCTTAAGTTGTTAAATGTCATGCGACTTAGTCGTACAATTATCGGCAATCGTCGAAAATCAGCTGTGTTGCGAATGTGTCTAAATTTTTTCAAATGACGTAGTACATGGTTTTGGTAGGCGATAATGGAGAAAGAAGTGGATGAAGCATCGAGTTTATGCTTTGCAATTCAACAGATGGTGCAGTCTTCTAGTCAAAGCAAGAACGGCGACATTGCCTATGTGGTGCAGTTGGTGAAGGTTTGTTTGTAGTACTCAGGACCATTTGTATCATTGTTATAGTATATATTTTATTTTATCCGTACAGTATGATGATATTCCTCCCGACGGTTTACTGCCTCATTGTGGCTGGGAGTTGTTCCTGGATTTCGTGCTGCGATGTTTAGCAAGGAGATTCATTCCACCAGCAAGGTCTCCCAAGCTGAGAAAGAGTTCGGCGTTTCCATTAGGGAACTCAGCTAAGAGTAAACCAATACCAGGATCCGCCACAGTTCTGGCATCAAACTAGTCGTATGGTGGCAAATCTCCCTCTGACCCACAAAGGCAGGAACTGCCTGTGGTGGTGACGAACTGGAGCAGACTTTGACCAGGGTGACCTCGGGATTCCAGGGAACTAAAATGGCTTAACCAGCAAATTTCCAAAAAGGGGATCATGCTGGGGTCCTCACAACCAGTGAAGGCTGACCATCCAAGTTTCCAAGTAGGTAGGAGAGAGAGAGGGAGAGATAGTGAGGGCGGAGGGAGGGCGACATTACCGTTTCTTGCCATGTCGATATTCTATTTTTATGTTTTCCACTTTGTCATAATCATTTTCGTTAATGATCATTTAAAATCTCTATGCATCCTTGCGTTTAGCAGCAACAAGACTTAAGTATGAAATGTTTTCCTGTAATTAATGAATGACTTTCCAGCTCATTCACCGCTTGTTTATCGTGGATCTTGAGCGTGCCATGGAACACGGAATGGATACGTTGCTTTGGACAACAGCAAAACAGCTGGTCGACCGTGTAAGGGAAGAAAGCGGTAATGATCGCAATAGTGTGAGTTACTCATTATATTTCATAGAAGTCATATAGACTTCTATAAAGTGTATGTGGGGGTAATTCCAATGGCGGCTTCATTGAGAGATTTTAACTTTTTATATGAGATTGTTGTCTGGAAATACAGTTTTGTTATGCCGGTGTTTACACAGTTTCCTAGTGTTCCAAATTTAAATAAGTCCTCAAAATCGAGCTATTTTAGTGTCTGTTCTTTTAAATAAATGACAAGCATAATTTTATGTGTGACTTCATATTGCAGTAGGGCAGAAAGTATCAGAAGTATGCACTTTTCAGAATTTTGAGAACGTGGTTAGTTTATGTATTTCGTGGCTGTGCGATCTGTCGTTGAATGTCTATTCAAAATATCAACTACCTCCTATTGATATTCCTTCTTTTATCTGTCTCTCACCGGCTCTTCGTGTTGATCGAACTTCACCCTTTCCTCAAGCTACAGGGAATTCATTTCTAGCGTTTCTGTGTCTTCGTTTGGGAGACCTGTTTAGGTATAAGGTTTGTATTTAAGCTTCCTCTGCTATTTCTAGTCTTAATGAATTTGTCAGTATTACTGAATAGTTGCTGAGAGGTGTTACCGGGTGTCGGGCTGCGATGTACAACAGTGAGATCCAACCACCATCAAGGTCTCCCAACCTGAGGAGTCCGGCGTTTTCATCAGGAAGCCCATCTAAGAATAAACCATTGCCAAAAACCGCAAGTCTCTTGATCCGCAAGAGTGGCGACTGCCTGTGGTGATGACGACCTGGGGCAGATTTTGGTCTGGCTAACCTCGGGACTTCAGAGAACTACAACGGCTGGATCGGCAGAACTCCGAAAAAGGTGGAGATTATGCTGACGTCCGCAAAATCAGTTAAGTCGTGGCTTCCATGTATCAGTGTATGTATGTATTGAATAACTTGATCTGATGAGGAGGAAGGTATCTGAACGTTAAGTTCTACCATTTTAAAGTTTTTCAGGGTCATTATGATCTTTGTTCGCATCTATACCATTGTAGCCTCCGTGCAAAGCCATCTCTTGGTGATGCGTGGAATCAACTTGGCGTGCTGGCCACTGTTAAGTAAGTCTCATCTTTCTATTATTGCTCATCTTTCTTTTTAAATGTTTTAGAACCGTTTGTTATAGGGTGAAGCCACTTGATTCACTTTATTTTAATACGCGTGCTCTTCACTGTCCGACTCCATTTACACCTGCTGCGGCAAATATTTCCAATCTTTTTCGAAAATATTCTGATAAAGGTAGATACTGGAAACTTTCAACTGTTTTCATTCCACATTTAATCTTTCAACATACAATTACAGATGTGCGGGAAGACGATTGCTTTTCTGACCAGTATCTTGCAATCTTGGCTAAGTGCCATTTTGTCAGTTTTTTTTTGTATTGGTAATTTTTGCATCATGTCGTAGCATTAATCAAGGTTCCAAATCTTTTCGATAGGTCTAAAACCTGGAGATCAAGTTTTTTTGGATTCAGCTAATGCCTGTTCCTGAGGATGCAATTACTCGAATTGGTCCACAAATAACAAATCGTAAAATGCTCGTGGCACCACTTGCACTGCTGGAGCCTCTTGGTAGGTGTTTCCATATGGCATTTAATAGTTAAAAGGCGCTTGTCGCGAAGTGGTGGGAGGCGTCTTGCAACACACATGGGATCGATTCCCGCACCCCTGCCCCACCAAGCCTTCCCTCCTTCCGGGGTCGGCAAACTGCTACGACACTTATTCGGGAGCATAGCAGCACTGACTCGATACATCATACACTAGGTCGCCGCGAGTCATTGTAAAAGTCAGGTATGCATTCAATCGCCTCAAACGTTGCTTAATGAAGTCGAAAGCATGGCGCATCCCTCAAGGATTAGTCAACCCCGAGAGCTATATCCTTTTTACACTTTATAGTTAATGTTTAATTGTATTCTTTGCCAGCAGAGTAATACATTTTATTTACTATTCCAAGAGTGTTAGATACATCAAATTTAACCAACTTCCACAGAGTGAGTTGATCAATCTGGCAAATGCATACTATTATTGTTAACGCATATGATTTGGTCATCTTTCCTTAATTGTCATTTTACTGCTGAAGTAGTAAAGAACATAAGAACTTAGTAGCAGCTTTGCAAAATAATGATCGGGAAACACTTTGTTGTTTTTGTAAGAATTCCTTTTAGGCGATACACATGACGAAACTCGTACACGTCAGATTCTGATTCAGCTTCTGTCCCTGGCTTTCAATAGTATCACCAACTTGCTTCTCAACAATGTAAGACATTATACATTTGCTATAGTACTTCTTGCATATATTAGAGTATTTAGAATCATCTTCGGCCTGATTTGCTTCTTTGTATAGCTCTTCTTCTGAGAGTTCCCTGTGCCTGTCGAAATGAACCGTCTTTGGTAGCGGCATTATCACGATCACATCAGGATGTCATTTTCGATAGCGAAAAATTGGAAACGTTTAGGTACGGGTGTTTTTTTTCTACACCATATCTTTGATCCCATATCTTTTAGTGTCCTAAAGGTTGCAATGTCATTCTTCTTCTATGTGCTTCGTTTTAGATGTTTCACCGAGTCTGATCCATTTGAATATCCCATCAGTTATGGCCAGATTTCCGAACATATTGCTGAACTGTCTGAGCGACCAAACGTCACCAAGTTACAGTGCCACGGTAATTTTCAGAAATTTGAAACAACTGAATTACCATCTTAACTCTTTTATTTACTGCTTTTTTCTTCTTAATGGCAGGTTATGTTTCGAATTATAACTGGTATGAAATGCTGAGATATTTGCAAAACTCCGGACCACAGGTGTATGCAGTGGGGAACGAACACGCGCTGTTGTCCTTACCAGGGAGCAGCGCACTTCACCACTGCACCATCCGGGTCCTTCGCTTTGCATGTCTCTCAGCTAGTTCTATCGATCTTTTTGCCATCAGCAATCACCCGTCAGCGGGATTGATCTGGGGAGCCAATATCGGCATTGAACCCAGTTAAGCTGAGGCTTAGTTATAATCACAATCTTAACTCTTTTATTTACTGCCTTTTTCTTCTTAATGGCAGGTTATGTTTCAAATTATAACTCGTATGAAATGCAGAGATATTTGCAAAACTCCGGACCACAGGTGTATGCAGTGGGGAACGAACACGCGCTGTTGTCCTTACCGGGGAGCAGCGCACTTCATCACTACACCATCCGGGTCCTTCGTTTTGCAAATATCTCAGCATTTCATACGAGCTGACTTACCAATTTACAGGCATAATATCGCACAAACCCAACCTTTTATAATAGTCGTTAAGTTCATAGCATCTACAGTTTCTATACAGTGCAGAATTACTTTGCACATTCAGCTTAATTGTTAGAGAACCTTACAGATTGGTCGATAGCAAATTAGAAAGTAATCTGCTTCATAAAGAAACATGACTTAGATTTTATCGCAGTAGGCAAAATACACACAGATTCTAAAAACCTCAACTAATTACTTCACTATAAAGTTTTTTCTTGTGAAAGGGTGATCGCTTGTTAACGCAAACTAAACTTGTCCCTATGCCGTATTTTGACAATTTTTTGTCGCCTTATTAACATTTAGAAGGAAAAGAAAATAATATAAACCCAATTATTTGCAAAACTCCTGACCGCAGGTGTCCACGGTGAGGGTCGAACATTCTATTACCCTTTCCTGGGTTGACGTGTTCACCACCACACCATGCGGATCCTTATTTCGCCTATTTCTCAGCGAGTTTTCTATGTACAGTGCCATCAACAAATACCCGTCAACGGGATCGATCTAGGAAGCTGTATTTCACATAATACCCTGCCGTGAAAAGTTGTAATCGGCAGTAACTAAAAACCTTAGCATTGTGATAAACCTCATCCTTCTATAAATAGGATTTCAAGGTTATTTAAAGCACTGCGTATTAAAAAAAACTACTCATCGGTAAGAACTTCTTTAAGTTGGTCAACTTTGAATGAATTTCTTTTAGTCTTTCAGTTTCTTTGTCCTCCTAATTTTGATTTTTTGTTATTTTCCCTGCTATTGGGAACATTTTCGAATATTTCCTGTTTGACATATATTGTTTCATTGGTTAGCTAGCGCGAAGTTCATTAGAAATTTTATCCAGCTAACGTTTCAACGCCTTTACCTTCTCTAGAACCGGATTGATCCGAGTCGATTGTTCACAGCTGATCGTTTTTCCAGTGGTTTTTCATGATCGCATCGAGTCGAACTCAGTGGTGGGAGCACCGCCCAAATGAATTAACCTCAGTCAGCATTGCACTTTTACACAGGACGATTGTTAATACTACTATCCATCAAGGGCGCGTGTGGCGCCGCGGTTGGAGGCGCCATGGGATCGATCTCCGCGCCCAAAGGTTACTAGGTCTTCCGTCACTCTGGAGTAGGCATATTGGTACCAAACTTGTCTGGGAGGATAGCAGCACTGGCTTGATACATCGGTAGGTCATCGCAAGTCATTGTAATGGCCAGATATGCATTCAGTTATCTCCAACGATACTTAATGAAGTCGAAAGCATGACTCATCCCTTAGTGATTGATCAATGCCGACAGCTTTGTTCTTTATCCTTATATTGTCCTTTGATAATTGTTCGTTTTCTTCCGGAAAACGGTTTCTTTTTTCATTTTACAGCTTTTCTTTCTCGACTTTTCATTTAGATACTGAAATATTCTTTTGCATCTATCTCTCAAAAGAGCATTGCTGGTCGTGTCTTTTGGTTTCATGACGTTTCGAAATGACAGTTTTTGAGTGTTAGCAATCTATCATACGCATTCTGTTATTTTCCCTTAATTTGTACACTCTTGAGCAGCTGTTCGGTTAATCGAAAACGAATACCCGCTTGGCATAGGTAAATGTCTTTTTTATGGTAATTCGAAACTCAGGAATATTCTTTCATCATAGTGATGAATTGAGTTTTCAAGTGAGACATGTTTAGAGTTCTGACGAACTTAATGTATTTCAGAGCATTTTTGTAAATATTATTAACAATTTAAATTTGTGTGTGCTACAAATGGAGGAGAACTTTTTAAGCAATTCCTTTTTATGTAAAAGTTTCCTGCTTACAACTATTCAACACTAAAATGATGGGGAAAGCATTTTAAACCGAGCATAGATATGATTTTGGTTGCTCTAACGTCTAAAGGTGGTTTTCAGATGATTATGGAGCATTGGACACAATGGCTTTGGCTCCCACGTCTTCGATTTTTCGTGGTGGCCTATATCAAGTTGCATGGATTTAATTACGTCTAGCATTGTTTGTTCACATTGCGACTCTAGCGATTCGTCGACAAAAACGGTGCGATTCTCCTTGGTGTCGTCGACTTCACAGTGGACGAGTTCATAAGTTGCTCGCTTCATTCCGCCCACGCTTCTTTCCAAAGCTGATATATTCGAAATGACACTACATTTAAGCTTCGTGGGAATGTAAGCACGCTACTTTGCTAGCAATAGTGCACTCGTTTTTTTCTTTTCTCTCCACTTTTAATTTCTATCGTACCCGTCTGTCCTACTCTTACTCTCTGTTGCTACAATTGCCTGGTGGCGTTGCTTCGAATCGATCGCCTATTCTCTGAATGGAGGGAAGGACCAGAGGAGCTGACAACGTCTACCAGTTCCAAATTCGATGTCTGTTTTGTTGTTTGCCGAACGCTGTCATATGTGTAAATCAGCAGACTGACTGCGAATCGCATCATTATGATCAGGTGTTGCTGAAGGTTAAAGAAGAAATAGAAGTTCTATGTATTTTTGGGACATGCTTACTCCATGCACACTGTTTGTTTTCTCTAATGAAAAACAAAGACTTGCTATCTCCATCGATTTAAATGCCGTGCGAGTATCGGCTAAAAATATGATGTGTAAAATTGTTCAAGATGTCCTGAACCTAGTTCCTTCTGCTTCAACAAGACTTAGCTATTAAGTGGAATTTTAGACTACCAAGACTAATTGCATTTCAGTCTAGTTTTGATTTTACACGAGAATTGTGACTGCAGTTCACACCATTAGTTGTATTATTCTTCCTCGTTCTGTTTAGGAATTTTCAGTTTTTGTCCGGTATGTACTTAGTCTCTGCAACTGGGGTTCCTAAACATAAATTTCGAAGCAGAAATCTCATTACTTGCTATATTCTGCATGTATTTAGTAGAAATGCCATTATTTTAAAGAAACCTCGTTCCCTTTTGTTCGAACTGAAAGTTTGTTACGAAGGTGGAAGTACATAGCTGCTTTAGCTTTCCATTGTCGAAGGTTTTCTGTGCCATTAGCATTGAGCATTTCATCCATTAGCTTTCCACTCCTTTAGAATTCTTATACTCGAGAATTTTATTACTCATTGAATAGATGTCTTTAACAACTTCTTTGACGTTTTCATGTGTCTACGTTTGCTCTTAAGGGTCTTATAACTGCACTTGATACCTACCTGATGCTTGAATGGCCCGTCCTTACTGGTTGTGCGGACCTCAGCATAATCTCCATTTTCCCGAGACTTGATGACTAAGCCATTGTGGTTCCCTGGAATTCCGAGGTTAGCCTGGTCGAAGTCTGCCCCAGGTCTTCACCACCATGGACAATTGCAATCCTTTTGGATTAAAGGGAGATTTTCCACCGTGCGAGTTTGATACCAGGACGGTGGTGGATCCTGGTACTGGTTTACTCTTAGCTAGGTTTCCTGAAGGAAACGTTGGACTCCTTCTGAGCTTGCGAGACCTTGCCAAGAGATGAATCTCCTGCTGTATATCGCAGTCCGACATCTAGGAACACTTCCCAGCCATGATGAGGCGGTAAACCGTTGGGAGGAGACCTGCAATTACTTTTGCGAAACATTGAAAGATGGCACTTGGTATGTGGTGATGTGATGTAGAAGAACATTCTTGATTAAGCTGATTGATGGAACCTGTTAGATAGTTTTGGACCGAATATTGTTGGAATAAATGCATTTGGACGGGAACATGTTATCAAACTATTCAGAAATTATCGGGGACATGTTATTAAATTGTTCGGAAGTTAATTTCCGATTTCAACTCGTATTTTCACAATGGCGCTATGCTCAGAAAAAAGTTTTTCGATTTCAATAAGAGCCATTAGAATCTACACATTTTTGCCAACGAGAAACTAGTTTGTTTGTACTAGTAGCATAAAATTCTGAAGTAAAATCATTGAAGGCAATTTTGGCCTCGGCTTGATTTCTGAAGCATTTTTCATGCAGTAATCTATCGAAGTGCTTGAATTAGTCGTAATGGCTAGGCGAGAGGTTTTACGAGTACTGCGGATGACGCAGAGTTGGGTAGCCTAGCTCGTTTAACCTTCTCAATAGTGTGACTTTTAGCCTCGCGTTATCGTGTAGAAGGATTGGTTCCTTTCTGTTCACCAGTGCGTAGCGCAGTCGTTGATGTTTCTGGTGCATTTCAACCATTTCTGGAGATATTTGTTCCCCATACTCGTTTCGTCCGAATTTCAGGTGTGATGGATTAAATCATCGGCAAACTACAAAACGGTCAGGATGACTTTCTCTCGCTGCAGTTTTAGTTATGCAATGTGCTGTTTAGCGTAATCACAGATCAGCCACTGAGCCAATCGTCGCCAATTATCATTGAGGACCTATTTTTTGTCGTAAGTCACAACACGGTCGAGAAATGGGTCGTGCTGGTTAAGAAGAAGAAGAAGAAGCGCCAACGACACTTCGAAACGGCAATTTCATTGACTGCCATTCAATTTGTACTACGTTTACTCACCGAATTTCCTCGACTTCTGGATAATCTTTGGACACAGTCTTTCGATTCTCCAAAACATTTGAGACGCTTATATTGAGTCCTGCAAGTTCTCGAATAGTATTGCTTGTATTTTCTTCCACCAAGTCCTTTAATTCATCGTCGCTAATAGCAGAGAGACGTCCACGATCTCTCTTATCCTGAAGCTCGAGTTCTCTGCGATGAAATCTTTTAAACCAATTTTTCACCGTGCGTTACTTCCTTAGCCTCTTACGCGTATATTCGCAGAAGTATATTTTTCTAAATAGCTGTTAGTATGTTTAAAACTCTAACCCTTAGGATTTATCGGAAGCGCAATTTATATTATAATGTAATTACACGGAGCGATAATGCGTAAAATGAACTTTCGAATGAATGATATAAGGCAGCATTAGAGGAAAAAAAATATTCTGTGAAAACATGTACATGAATTCAGGAAATTGCAAATCGGACATTAATTTCTGAGCAAGTCAATGTGAGGTTGTGCTTTCCCATGAATTCTTTACGTCATTTAAACGTTATTTCGGTAATATTTGCTACGGAAACTTCTGTTCTGCTGAACTGTGGTCATGACTTCTGGAGAAGTAGCGATGATTGAAGCCGTTGTTTACGGCTTGTTCTTGTTCTCTGCATTAGAAAAAGTTTTTTGGACTACATGAAGACTATTCCAAAAGATCGTAGGCCGTGTAGTTGTTGCTTTTGTTAATGTTTTACATTAACCATGTTTAACGCATCAATTTTCACATGCGAAAGTCGTATGAGCGATAAGCTTACGAGCTCTTTGCGCGATGATTTGCGAGTGGTGTTGGAATCGGAAAAGACATCGCTGCTAGCAACACAACATGCGCCCTCGTTTGCTTTTCCGTCTCATTCTCCTATCCTATGCCTTTCTTAATGCTGCTCGCACATGGCAATTAGTACCACAGGCGTATTGCACTCATTTCCTCGGTGTTGCTTATAATGTTGCCTTTCAATTCACGTTTCATCGGATGATTCTTCGTTTCCGGAAAAACATGCAACGATTTGACTTAGGTTGTAAACCCTTCTAGATCAATGAATTGTTGTTGATCAGCTAGCTCATTTGTCCAATCCACTTTTGTTGTCTTAGCAAAGTTATTTGCTTGAAAAATCCAGGTAGCATCTCTTTGTAGTCGATTCACGTCATGTAGACAAGTTTTTGACCTAGTCTTCAAGACACGGCGAAATTTTTTGGTAAAAGTCTATTACGCTTTTGCTTCGCGTTTCCATGACATCTGCATAGGAAAGTTAGTCGCTTTTGTGCCATTATGAAGTCCATATCTTTAAGTAAGTTATGAAATATCGTTTCTGGCGTTTATCATTACGTGATTTTGGAATGCACTTATTATTACTGCTGATCTGATAAAGGTGGATTACGTAATATTTGTTTGGTTCACATAGTGTTTGTTTGTCTATTTCGACTTTACCTTTGCTAAGCTTCCCGCGGATTGCGCTTTTTCGAGAGGTCGTAGAGAACTGGTACTAAATCCAGCATATTTGACAAAACATTTCTGAATTTTATAGCAGTGTTCGGCCTAGGTCACGGTGTTTGAGAACGCTTTCATGAAATATCCATCGAACTTGTCACACGGAGATTAGTTTAAACCAATGCCCATTTTTAACCTAAGTTGAAGGGCGGTCGTTAACCCAAAGCTAGAAATGGTGCAGATTTAACTCTCGTATTGTAATCTTTTAAAGCAATCAACCTTTCATCTCTTTTATTTTAGGATTTTAGCTACTTTTCGAGACACATATGGAAATCTACGATTAAATGTTTTTCCCACTTATCAGGATCGTAAGCCTGTAGTTCTTCACCGTTTTGCTTTTCTATTTGATGAAGGAGTTTCTCAGCTAAGCCCTTATTCGTAGTGGAGGTGCCATTTTTCCACGGTATACGTCAGCACGTTTCATAGAAAAAGCGTGGCAAATTATACTAGGTGAGAATGTAGTCTTAACATGCGTCGTTTCTGAAATTCGAAGCAAGTTGTGTTTTGCAGTCTGTGACAAACTAACGTTTAAGAATGGTTTTCTTTTGTCGTCATTTTTTGTAGTCTTTCTTTTTGTTCATTGCTTCCTTCATATTTGCCTGCATGGTGTACTCTATTATGTTGAATAGAATTTATTAGCTTTTCTATCACCCATCGAAGTATTTTATATAAGAAATGTCGCTTCGTTTCGCATTCCACTTACATTTTGTACGCTTTCGCTACAACGTGTTCACACGTTTGGATTTAATGTACCTCCCAGTTCATTCGAGGGTTGTCGAATACTTCATTGACGCTGATTTTCCTGCATCTCCGAACAGATATGGCTGACCTCAGAATGGACATTATTAGCTTAAATTACTCGTAGAATCTTCAGATCTTCGCAAGTGAGGAGCAAGTTCGCTTATTCTGCATTTTGAAATTTTCGTTTTTTGTAACCTACCAGTCTTTTCAGTTCCGTTTCGCCATTTCTCATTGTTGTTATTTTTCTTTTTTTGGCTATTGAATATTACCAACTTGTGGAATACATTGCTGAACATTGTTCACGTAATAAATACTAAGACATGAGCAAAACTCGAAACCGCAGGTGAGCTTCAAACTCGCGATTATCCTTTCCGCGGATCATGTACGGTTCACCACCCCAATCGAGATCCTTGGTTTGACTTCCTCTCAGCTATATTCTCTCTACCGGTGCCATCTGCAATTACCCGTCAACGAGAGTGTTGCTGGGAGCACATATTTCCAAGTTTTGCTCACACCTCTGCATCTCTGTGGTTGTATTTACATCGAACCCAGCCGTGAAAAGGAATAGGCAACAAGTAAAGGTTACAACATTGTGACTATTGACTTGTATCACCATTAGAATGTATTAGTTTCATCAAACAAGAAACAGGTCTACTTGTTCTACATTCTAGATTTGTACTTCTTCTGAATCCACCGGTTTATTTTTTGTTACTTCTCTTACAGTAGGTTATGATTTGTTCAGCTAAATAGTTCCCGGATGCATTGTTAATGTTTGCGGTTCCCACACTTGCGTTAGGAATTCTAGGGAATCAAGTTTTTTTTTTCAAATTTTGCGCTTTGAGCAGATTTAAAGCGGAAAAGTGAAGTAAACTAAATTTTAGGAAAATTGTGTGTATGATTAAGGTGATGTACCTTCTTCTGTAATTCTTTCAAGTCTCCTAAGCTTTTAGTTCCCCATGTGGTGTTATCGGAAATCCAGCACATCTCGAATATGGTTGTATAGTTTATGCCGCAATATGTTATAAATAGTTTGGCACTTAATGGGAAGAGAAATTGAAGGGAAGAAAGAATAGTCGTAAAAATTTCACGCCATCTTCGCATCGCATTGACATCCACATTGCATAATTGTCTTTTGTCTAGCGAAATCAATCTTTTCTTCCTAACAGAATGTTCTCCCCTTTATTTTGAACTCGTTTTCAACAGTATTTTAATTACGAATCCACTGAGAAGGGCATATTTTTCACGAAGCGTTCGCGTGGCATTCTGATTTCAATGATTACTTTCGGTGATTTCTTTTGTCCCCGTTATTTGCTATGCTTTTTTTCTTACTTTTTCTTCATTTTCTTTTTATTTACACAAAGTGTTTATTTCTCACATACCAACACTCCATAATTAACACTATAGAAGAACTTTTTCGAACAAGTTTGTTCTTCGAAACGGCCACTGCTACTACGTAGGATGGTAGAAAATATTTTAAGTGGTTGGGAGCATCATAGAAATAGGTCTCTGCTGTACAGATACAAACTCATGAGAACTCTGTAGATTAATTGACTTTTCCGCCGACGATATAGCATGAGCACTGTAGCGAGTGAAACAATTGCTTGAGATATACTTGTTTTTCTTTTTCTTTCGTCTCTTTCTTTACTACATCTTTTTTTGTGGTGAGAGGGATAACTGACAATGCACATTGGGTCAGTACATTATGCAGCCTACTGAAAATTAGGGCTGCCGTATAGCTGACACTGAACATCATATGTTATCGCAAATGTGTTGAATTACATATGTAAAGGCAGTAATTCGGTGTGAAAATAGCGGCGGCAGTGTTTTTATGTAAGCACCATGTGAAGGGAGTCGCAGATTTTCTTTTCTTTTGCATAACGTGGCATAAGCATTTCTGTAGATATAGTGTTTTCGAGGCACTAACACCCTGACATTTTAGCGTGCCTTCGGTTACTGTTTGCATAGACGGAGCCACTGAGCCAACAAAATTTTATCCATATTCGGACGGGTCGATAAGCATTCCTGCCAGTTTCGTTCTACGTTTGTTTTCACGCCTGTTTGCGTGCGGATGTGTGAAGCATATTTTATGGAGTGTAGCAGTGTTTTCAGAAATACTGTTAATCTAACTTGTACTTTCGTAGCCATAATAAGCTGTAATCGAGTCGCGAAGAACCGCTTACCGTAGTTTACTTTTGAGCGTTGATCTCTTGGAAAATGTTTCTTCGTTCAGCAGAACATGTTGGCATTTTGACAAAATGAGATCTCATAAATTGGTTTCTGTTTCTATGAATATCGTTGTTTATCGACGTTACCAGAGGTCTTCCTATTGCTGTTGCAAGCTTTAACTTAGCTATTCATAGTTTAAAGCGTGGATCCCAATCAGTTGAACAGACAGATTTTGGTATTTTTTGGTATTTTCGTGATGGTTCATCGGTGTCCTGATAGGGTACTGTTACATGCTATGTGCACAAATTTCCTGTGTCTCCTTACGAGTTCCGGCTATTCAGTATATTCTTATTACAATTTCTACTGAATATGTTCATTATCAAAAGATTTCATAAGACAAAAGCTGTAATACATAACGTAGTCTATTTCTTTCGTGGTCTCGTATTCCGAAATTACTGTTTCAATGCATTTATTACGATGTTCAAAGAAACTGTAGAATGTAGTTTCCGTTATCTGTGAGAGTATCCAGTCCTTTGTAAAATATGTCAGTTTTTAAGTATTTGCGTTCTGCCCTTGGATAGTTGTGGTAGTAAAGCTAATTTCCTTTGAAACAAGATTAACAATATCTCGTAGATAAATATGAAAATGCAACCATAGAGGTGCTGAGCTATGAGCAGAACTCGGAACCTCAGTTGAGCTTCGAACCCTGGATTACCTCTTCCGGTGCTCATATGCTATTTACCACACCAACCGAGGTATTTGTTTTACCTCTCTGAGCCATATTTTTACTCTGTCGATGCTATCATCAATCACCCTTCCATGAAATAGTGTAGACAGTAATGAATTTAAAATCGATTATAAATAATTTAGGTAGAATGTGAAATGATAAGCGATAAAGCAAAATAAGAAGCGAAATTGCTCAAATCCTTCACTCCTCCATGTGCAGATATCCAGTGAGCGAAGGAACCGAATTCAATAATTCTAATTAGCTCATGGTTGTCGATCCCTTGTCAATTAGATGATTCAAAGGACCAGGAACTAAAATAATGGAAAAAGGAAAACGTAGAAGAATATTCCATATGAATTAGAAATTCTCAGCTAGGTTTTGTGGTTGTTCTAAGTTATTTTGCATGTAAATGTATATAAACATATAGGTATATGTATAATATGAGTGCATGCGTGCGTGTGTGTGTGTGTGTGGTGTGTTAGCGAATTAGGGAGAGCTGTTTTTGAATGAGTTTCGGCAATTTTTGAAGTTAAGCAGCGTTAACGATAACCGTCGCGGTGATGATGATTGAAAAACTTCGTTCTTCAACATTTGTAGGTGCGTGATATCGCATTGCTTAATGATACCGTCGGCCAATAACAGGCGCTGGTTGGATCCCGCACTAACGCTTTCCGTTCATTCCACGTGGGAACGCTTTAAGCCAGCTATCTCCAAGATTGCAATGAGGACCGACTCATCCAGCGTTGTACGACATTCATAAACAAAACAGAATCGTGAGGCAGCAGTCGAAGCAATGCGCGAAATCACAGTGTTAACTTTTTATTTACTGCCTGTTATTATTTTTCACGGCAGGCTGCGTTGTGAAATACAATCACTGCGGTGCTGAGGTAATTGCAAAACTTGGATTCCAGGTCAGATCTTAACACGTGAACCCTGCAAAGGGTAATGACGGTTCGATTTGGTCTGCGGTCCAAGTTTTGCAAATATCTCAGCATCATAATACGCGAAATGTTCGGAACCAGTGTACGATGAAGGCGAGGAAAACGCATTGAGCATAAGTGGTGAGATCCACACATTAGGTGTGAGGACGGCTCATGTAAAATAACAAGAAAATACATTTCTAAATCTACTAAAGCCAGTATTGAACCTTATCATGGAGATAAGATTTCAACTTATGCTGTCAAGTCTCTTGGAAACTACGGGTTGTTAAGAACGACCAACAAGCCCAAATGTCATCGCTATTTTGGCTGTGATGGTATTTGGTTGCGTGATTGCATTGCTCTATGGCGCTTAGTTTTCAATTTTAAACGAAGGGTTTAAACTATCGAGACGCGATGAAGGAAGGAATGACGTTGCTTTTAATTGCGGATTTAATCTGTAGTGTGAGGAGCTCACTGAGCACCTATGGACGTAATGGATGAATTAAGATTATTGGATCACTTAATTATTAGCGGATTTGCATGTGTTATATATGGAGGTTTAGGATATAGGTCTTGTTACAGTGAAGAGTATAAAACTTTTTCATGACGGTAAGGAAGGTTGTTCTATTCATTGCTGCTGATTTTTGGCGTGAATAAAGACTGAGGCAGTCGAAATCGAAACATTCTATAGAAATAATGAACAACTAGAGCAAATAGGAGCGAAGAGTTTGTATTGATGGGTGAAATTCTCTGCACCCACTATTGTATGATATTACCTGACAGCTTGACTTAAATATTATAAAAATATGAGCAGGTGAGACCTCTCTAGATTCAATATTGATAGATCACTTTGTTATCGTCGTGTATGCTTTCATGTGCATTCAGTAAACGAATAAATTCGATTGATTAACTAAAATGCCCTCTCCTTTTACTGCGTTCGACTGTCTTCATTACTTGACTACTGAGGTTGTTTTCAGCCACTCCCCGTAGACGTTGTCGCACCGTGCTCTGTGCTCCCCAGCAGTCGCAGCGTATCGACATAGCAAATCATTAGAAGACAGAAAGGACAAAGAGAGGAGGAATTACTTGCAGCTTTTTCTTGTCAGGCGTACCTCCATTGGTGGTGGCCTGCCTTATTTTGCAAACATATTCAGCTACCTCTATCGCAGTATGGCCACTCTGGTCGCTTCGTCGTCGTCATCGTCATCGGAATCAGGTACTGACTCTAAGGCAGCGACAAAGACGACGTCGACTGAGGGTGGCAACACCACTATGAACCAAAAGTTCTGTGCACTCGATAGTAAAACGTCAACCTCTTTTTGCAATCGTGCACCGCCAAACACTCGATTTGAGACTCTACCAAACGAATTGGAGGTGAGCAGAATCTTTTTCCTTCTTTACTTGTACACTTAGTCTAAGCTAATATATCTCGCGCATTCATTGTATAGTGGATATATGTGCCATTTTTAAGCTTTTCACTTTATCTAATATTGTACCAGTAATAATTGAGCCATTGACGATAATGTAAACTGTGTATGGCGTGCACTTGTTAAACTTCGATTATTGAATTGGCCCGTAATCATGGATCGTGCTGATATCAGTGCACTTTCCACGGCCAATTTTCAACACCGTTGTTTTACTGTCACTTATTGGAAATAAAAGTAACGAATTCGTTGGTAAAATGAGTGCGGTGGAATTGTCCATAAGTATACATACCCATCTTCTTCCCAGTAGACCTACTGGTACGCCATATTGAACAGTTTCGATGGGGTTATGTCTTCTAGAACCATCTTTACCTGTGGTGATGATAATAACGGAAGCGAGATATTCTCATGTTCAATTGCAGTAGAAATCAGATAGGGTTTTTTTGCCTAACGAGTACTTGTTTACTCTAAGTGACATTTTTGAACACTGTAAAGCCTGCTCAGCAAAAGTTAGAAGGATTGTTGGCATTTTACACAGATTGTGACATAAATTGAAATTTAGATGTGATCTGTAGAGCATAATCCACTTTAGAATCTTAGCACCTTAATTTGTTGTGTAAACAAAGTTCTGTGTGTTAATAATAGGATACCTTCCTGATAAGCTTGCAGAGTATGCCTAGAAGCTTGTTTGGTGCTAGTTGCGGAGCGTGATTTTCCTGAAATTGATGTCTGCGCGAAGTCACTCAGATGTAGTACTATATTAATTGTGAAAGTGCCTGCGTCATGGTTTCCATTTGAAAGAAAGTCGGCTGCGATATCTGGTCCTGGCTCACTGCTTTCTTTTATGCTGTCGCAACTCAGACTTTACATAGAATATTTTTCTTCTTGACCAGTACTTCTGAATTCTGGTGTATGTATGTGGGAATGAAAAAATTGGAGTGGAAAATCCGTCTCATGGCATGAAAACGTATCTATTTTATCTCCATTCGTCAGGAGTGATAGAAGCCCATATTCGTTGTTTCCAACAAAGTCTTGCCTTATTCTTTCTTAACATACCTAAAACAGTCTTCTTCTCAGTTGTAGCGCTCTAAATGTTCCTACAAGAACATTGCATTGTTCTGTGCTACCAGTCGTACAGCTGTGTGATTTGTGTTACAGTTAGGTTCAGCTTCTGTTTTTCTACAGAGCACTACTTTCGTAGTGGCTTAGATACGATCCGCTCTTCTTGATTTACGAATTTATTTGACGCAATTCCGAATTGCTTAGACAAATAGTTCGTAGTTATAGTTTTGTGTCTGCATCGATTTACTACTCAGAGTGGGTCGGGCGCGTGTAGTGCACTAGTTAGAGATGCCCTGCAATACACATGCGGTCTTTGGTTCTACCCCACGCCTCGCGCTTGCCAAGCATCCAGTTGCTCCGGCGTCTGGAAATTAGTACAAGACTTGTCTGGTAGAATAGTAATACTGACTTGATACATCGGTAGGCCACCGCTAGTCATTGTAAAGGGCATATATGCACCAAATCACCTCCAGCGATGACTAATGAAAGCGAATGCATGGCACATCTCCAGGGGTAGATCAACACCGAGAGCTTTATCCTTTATCTTTTTTATTCTTCGGAGATTACAAAAGCCCTTCTCCAGCTTATGGCTGAATCAATTCTTTGCATGGACGACCCTGTGCACGCAAAGTGAAAAAAGTTTGCAAATCCTATTTGAAATTTCATCTGAGGGTAGACCTGTGATCTTTCAGTACCGGGCGAGGTATTCATGAGTATCTTCTCGCTGAAAACTATAAAATTAAGTACAAAAAAAGTTCGAGAGGAAAACAATGGGAATAAATTAAGAGTAGTCATGCGGTACGTGTTATGCTTTTCGTGTTGTTCGATTGTGGAGAATGCATTCAGCAGCTCTAACGCGGCACAGAGATTAATGATGATGGACTAGTTCTCACCCGAATTACTCGGTCATTATCGGATTTACTTATGATATTAGCTACTTGCATTCGTACTAAGCTTTAACTCCTTCCATCCATTTGTGTTATTGAGGCCATCATCTATAGAGGTGGTAGGGTTCGTTTGTGAGTTTGGTTACGACTTGAAAGTCTAGCATTTTCTCTTCATTGACGTGTTTAATGCCGACTGGCTGTGACCTTCAGTGGCATGGTTTGTGATTATGGTCTTCACCACAGACCGTCGCCTGCTACTGCTTGGATCCGAGATATGTTCTCTCTTTGCGAATGCTGTTCTTTTGCTGAGGGTAACAACTTGTGCGGAAAAAAATCTTGCCAATGCTCTTGTGGAAATTTGTTGATTATATTTTCTACTGGCATCATATCAAAGTTTTGTTGTTTAGGTGATCGAATTTCTTCATGAACATTTCGTCACTATCGAACCAATCCTTTCAAGTCTTTGTGTTTCAAATACGTAAGTGCATTTTTCGTTATCCGTAACTTTCATTCTCTTTTCAATGTTTTCTGCCCTATGCTTCACATCATTTTCACTCGATTGGTGCAGACGAATTTTCAGAGATGAGCTTACCACTTTGCTATGTGATGTGGTTAATGACTGTATAACGTGCCCGGCATCGAACGTGATTCGAGATATCGGATCTGGGCGTCTCTTAGGAGTCTGCCTAGCAAGCAGATCATGTCTTTTCGAAAAACAGGTAATTCATCGCATTTTCTAACGTAATTGTATTTGTTATCGTTAGTAATATTTTAGGAGTGAATTTTTTTGAAATATTATTTATATCTTCGAACTGAGGAAATAAACTACTGATCCTTCGTATTTTTGTTGAGCAAACGCGAGGTGTTATTATTCTTTATTCACAAATGAGCTGACGTTTCGGCGGATTTCG